TAATTCACTGATCTCTTATTTTTGTATAAATTATAATGTTTTGTTAACTTGCAATAAAAAAAGAACCAATCTGTGTACAGAAAAAAGAAAGCAATTGTACACTGTAAAAGTTTGAAAAGTGTTTTTAGCTATTAATGCATATGGCACACACTGTACATTATGCAATATTTTACAAAAGATAAATAAAAAATAAGGGCACAATATGAGGGGTGATTAACATACATTTAAAATAAAATAAAAATCAAGGGTTTCTGAGTCACAGAATGACAACTGTGAAGAACAAACCAGCATGAATTACGCTACAAAGACTCAATTGTGTAAGTCTGTGGCAGCACTCAGGGACAGGGCTCACCCAGTAAAGCTGTAATTCTGTAACACAACCCTCTATGTCCTGCACACATCCCATAGACCAAATCTTATGTCATGCCATATGTCACACTGCCTGCCATTCATGTGTTGTTGATTTCTAGCAACAGATACACAATCCTTCATCAATGTGGCCACCAGAAGGTGTTGATGTGTCGCATGTCCGCTGGTTACTCTTCCCCCCTGCATCGCTGGACTGGGGTGTCATGAAGAATGACTATTGTGAATGCTCAACAGCTTAAATGCGAAATTTTTTTAAAATGAAACAAAAACATTTTTGTTGATGTTGTTGTGTACGGGAAGACCGGGGATGGTTGTAACACGGGTCAGTTGTAACAATTCCAATCGGTCCAATCAGGAACTAGTTACAAATCACCTGATTCACTTCGCACATGCTCAGTTTCCACATAATAAAGTAGAGGTCTGTGGCAAACACCTTACACACGTTCAATTTAAATTTTATTATGGCCACTACTGACAGTAACAAATGTGCTTACACACATTAACACAAGTGTTCAATTTCAATTTAATTTGGCCAATACTATGACTGACAGTAACAAACAAGCTTACACACAAACAAAAGTTATATTGAAAAGTCAGTGTTGAATAAATTCTTCTTTTTTTTCATTATGTTGTGTTCATCTCACCCCAGGGATGTTACAACTAACCCAGACTATGAGGTGAATTGTAACATTTCACTCCTCGTGTTTGGAACTAAACCATGCATTTTCTGTTTGTGTTGCAATGTCATTTGATAGCAGACACTTGTAACTAGTTTGAATCCCATTTTGAACAAGCTAGTTTAAAAATATAGACAGAAAGGTCAAAATGTTACAAGCATCCCCTGTCTCCCCCTAATGTGCAAAAATTTCACTAAACATTTTTTGAATAAGCTTTAATTAGTCTCAAAATATATTCAGCAATACAGCAGCAACAACAAACCAGAACTACTCGATGCACTTTGTCCTTGGTATATCTGATCTCTGTGTGCCGGGGGCCTGTCCTAATTGTTCCTTCTGGCGAGTAAACAAAGCAATGCTAATGCCTCAGTGATAGGCCGCCAATGATTCCATCAACTCTTGGCATCCTCTCTCAATGCTGGACATAAGCATAATGCTGCCATTTGTTTCATGTCACAACAATATCATGCCCTCACACTTGGCACCGCCATGCATGGGCAAAAACTCACAGAAATGTTAACTCTGCAACAAAGATTAGTACAGAGAGGGAGTTCCAATTTTTCTCCATGAACAATATTTATGGATAATGGGATATAGACATTTTAATCAAAGATTAATTGAAATAAAAATGAATAAAAGTGTTTTAAAATTATTTATAGTTTCTATTATTGACCCCGTGAGTTTCTTTGGACAAAATGTCTTCCACTAATGTCTTGCTCTACATGCAAGCAACATGAATACAACATGGATGTTTTCATCCAGGGATTTTTTTTTTTTTTTTCATTTGGCAATTTATTGATTGGCCTCATGGATTTGTAGACACAACTTAATATCTGTGAAGATCATGCCATCTTGTATTTCAATTTCAATCAGCGAAATAACTGTTTAAACTACACAAAGTGTTGGTCTACAGTCATTTTCACAATGGCTTCTCTATGGCAAATGGAAGTGGTGGTCAGGCCAAAGCTGCTCTGTGGGCGTCTTGATCGTGATCTGCATACTTCTCGTTGTTTTGGGCTCTCTCCCATGTTTGTATCCCACAAGGGCATATTAAGAATTGTATTGTTTGCTTCTGTCTCTTTCACCCCTTTCTGGGCAACAAAGCCTCTCGTCTTCAACACAAGGGCACTTGAAGTGCAACCTGCCCACTCCCTGCATTCCTGCACTGATATCTTAAAGAGCAGTGGGAGGTTTGCAGATAGCCAGCTCTTCGTCCAACAGATGAGCTTCTGTGGACTGGTCAGAGTGAACAAACACAACCTTCTAGCGCCATTTTTAGAGATGCAGGGTTTGCTATAAATTGAAACTGAGAGGCTAACTAAGTTGAATATGTGCATAGACTTTGTGAAGGGCATGTTTTCAGTGTCCTCAACAGCTCACAGTATAAGCACACAGATGGATGCACTGAATATTAGGGCTGGGTAATAAATATCGATTTCTCGATATAAATCGATTCTCATTTTTACAAACCGATATCGATTCTTAAATCTCAAGAATCGATTAGTCATCCTGTTTCATTTGAATGAATAAGACATTGTATCGGGGCTGCGCACATCCAACAAATCGCACTAATCTTTGTCCTGCTTTGTTACTATTGATATGAAACAAAGTCTCAATTTTCAAATTACGTCCATTTTCTTTAGAAATTCAAAAACATAAATAGCGTTTTGCCGTTTTGGCGCTGTGGCGTGAGATCGCTCTGGCGCAGCTCCAGAGAAGCAGCAGCGCTGATCTCTTTTCCGGGTTAATAATACCAGTCACAGCGCGAAATAAACATGAATGAGCATCTGAAAGTGTGTTAAAAGATTGAGTACAACTCATCTAAATCCGTATCATGTCACATTGATTCGCTCAATCTGCGTTTCAACCGTGGAAAGACGTCAGTTAAACAGCTTGTAATCGATGTCATGTATCGTCATATTTACCTCAGAAAACCCACATCAACTCGTTAGTCCACACTCGTTAGTGTTCTTCAATATTTAATGCATATTTTAATAAATCTGGCAAGTTTTTATGACAGCCACCATTTAAATGTTTATATTTCATATAATCTTATTATAAAAATAAATAAAAGTGTAATTTAAGTGTTTGTATAGCTACAAAACAGTTAATTATTACCTTCATATTAGGTTAATGAAGCCTAGTAGGCTACAACTATATAGACCATAGTTTACAGCATTTAAGAGATTTGATTCCCTTGAGAAAAATTGCCATTTATTGTAACTGATATCCAAAATAATCGATATTGAATCGAATCGAATCGAATCGTAATCGAAATCGAATTGCAAGCTTGTGAATCGAAATCGAATCGAATTGTGAAATTTGTCTCAATACCCAGCCCTACTGAATATACATGGTGTTTAATTCCACTCATTAATGCGTATAACTGTAAAGCACCGATTTTTTTTCAGGGTCCTACAGATGATCTATTTCAATGTTAAATTTGTATAATACTAAAAATGTAAAAATGGTATCATTCATCACCAACACAATATTTTTTGGCCATGTGTCCTGCATTTTTTCATCTTGAATTTTGAGCCAACATGTGTTGTTGCAATGCACTGTGTTAAAATCAATTTATGTCATTGGCACATTGGCGCATTTATATAGACTTTTCATTACTCAAAATATACTTAAAGAAATAAGCAAATAAACAGTACATTTTAGAAAGAGAAATAATAAAGAGTAAAGATTTGAACATTTTAAATAAAAACATGAGATGCATTTACAGCTTTAAAAGCATCAGCTTTCCATTTTGAGTCAGACGGCATTACTACACGGCAAAGTACCGCAGGCCTAGACTTGATTGAATATGAAATTGACAGTGTGTAGTCAGTGTAACATTTTTGCCTACGCTGTGTTGTTTTCCTGAGCTATTTCACATATGCCTCATTATTTTAGCTTATGCATATTTGAATGAATTTCCTCTACTAATGGCCGTGTGGAAAACATTTTGAGGACAACGGAAAATGCAGCCTCACATCTGGGTGATCATGGCGAAGGAAATGCCAAATTCGTTTATGTAATCAGAAAGTTTTTGCAACAGATAGTACAACAACAGCAGCAACAAAGGAGAATACATTTTAAAAAATGAATGAATAAAAACTAAAAGCAGAATATTTTTACTACAAAACACTGTGCCCTTTGTTCTCTGGCCAAACTCGCAGCACAAACAACTGCCAATTGTTTGAAAGAAAGTTGGAAAAAAACAGTACGGTAAAGCCAACAGCCTTTTTAGCAGCACTTCACCCTCAAGAGAGACAGATTTTTCTGTGTGATCATAATTCTCTGAAAAGCACGGAGGGAACCATGCTGAGTATCACACACATCGGCTGATTAATGAATTGCAAAGTCATTGAAAATTAATTTGTGAATAGGGAATGAGTGCGCGAGTGCAGATTGCACCGGGGAGGTCAGGTTGCACAAATTACAACACTTACTTCAAGAAATCAGTCCAAGAATGAGTTTTGAATTAGCATTTTGAAATAAAAGAAGGCGTGTTGCTTCAACGGTAGCATGACATCATCAGGGTGTGTCTGTGTTTCTTAAACGTCTGGAGACGTGCTTTATCATATTGCATGAATGGAACGTGACGACATGTGCCTGCGGCTAACAATTCCTTTACGTTCCAATATACCATATGTCATTTCTCAATGTAAACTATTTGTATAATGAACATGAGTCATCACAACAATGGTTTGATTGTGCCGAAGCCGTTCTTCGCTGCGCTCTGGTTCTTTCTCATAGACAGGCCTTGTTGTGCTTGACCCAAGTCGAGGCAGATGTGGACTAGAACAATAGCAGCTCCTTTTATCAGAGAGCAGGGTAGTGACACCCTCCGCGGGCACATAGGGCTCGAAAGAATGCCTGGCACCGGCCCAGAATCACTGACGCTATTACAGACCCACCTCATCTCCCGTGATGCCATGCGACGGAGGGGACGACACTTTCAAAGGCCAGCCCTTCTTCCTTAGAAGCGCCGAAGACTATCGAGAAGGTTTGCAGAGTGTCCCCAGAGCGGAATTTGGATTGAGTTGAGAAGGACATTCGTGGGCCGCCCAGACTGTAGACCACCAAACAGATCGACACCTAGAATGGCCACTGCAAGCACCTCTGGACAAAGCCCATTCGGGCTGGGCAGGAAGAAGAAGGCCCCTGGTCTCCTGGATCAGATTGGCAGGTTCTTTGGTGGAGACAAAAAGAAAAAGGGAAAAGTGAGTCGTTTTAATTTCAAACATTGTCATGGTCAACGACAACTTCTTGCTCAATTCTTTGGGGTAAATACTGGTTCCAGATTATGACTCAGTGGTGATTGCATATGTGTGGAATTCATTTGGATGCAATACCCCTGGGTCTAGAGAGGTTGTTTATGGAATGAGGAGTTCGAATTCATCTGTACTGCAAATAGGCAGCCTCTTCTCATCTCATTTTAGCATGTATTAGCGAATTACATAATTCGCCTGTTCTCTGCATTGGTTGAATTCTGCAGAATTATGCATGCAGTTTGCCAAAGTATCATGTTAACGCTCATAGTTTAAATCCTACTGTTTGGTGTTGTGTTTATTTGCCACCCAATACTGTCTATATCAATAAATAATGTACAATTTATATCAGTGATATGGCATATATGGATTTTTTTTTTCCTCAGAGCATTTCATAGACCAGTCATATTACCAAATATTACTGTTAGTCTTAATTGTTTTACAGAGCATTTAAACAAAGAACATGGTCTTAAATCCTGAACAAATAGCTGAATCTATATTTTTCAAAATGATGAATCATTAAACACTGTACATGCTGCTTCAGCAACTGATAATGATGATGAGAATCATTTTTTGACTTCTTTAGCAGCAATTGATCAAAGCAAAAGGGCTCGAATGCAGAGAAAAACAATGGATTCTCATAACATTAAGGATCTTTTTTTTTCTTCTTTTTTTAAGGACAGTTGTTTGCACTGCAAGAGATATGATAGGGGTTTTCTTTTCTGGCAATAAAGTGCGATTCAGTTACTTACTCTAGGCAGAGGTTTATCTATTGACGCTCATTATCTATTGACACCTCCTTGTTGCGTGCTTATTTTAATGTTCAAAGAATGTCGATTTATATGCATAGATACATTTAGATTAGCATGGTATTTTTATTTCCAATTAAAAAATATCGTTGGTTTAACTTAAAAAATTAAGTAACCTGGTTGCCTTTAAAATTTTAAGTTGATTGAACTGGAAAAAGTGAGTTAATACAATGAAGAAGATTGATTTAATCATGAGAAACTCAAAATAATAAGTTATCTGAACTAATTGAAAAATGTTGTGATAACAAATCTTGAAAATATATTTTTTACAGTGCAATGACTCAATTATTTTTAATTATATTGTTCTATAATATTGCAGCTGTGTCAGCTGTCAGTTTTTTTTTCTTTTGTCACAGCAACTTATATTATGAATGTTTTTTCAATTAACTTAAAATTCAACCGAGTCAACCAGGTTACTTTCTTTTTTTAACAATTCATTTTTACAATGTTATGTTTTAAGTCAGTAGCATTATGGACATGTACTTGCAAAATGACTTTTATTCAGTAGAATGTCTGTTGGGGCCCATCAAAATAAAGTGTTAGCAGATTTTAAGCAGACTGTAATATATATATATATATATATGATCATGATGATCACAAGATTTTTTTCTTTTGTCAATTCAACTTAGATGTCATTCAGATCAAATAATATTTTGAGTTTCGTTTGATTAAACCGAATAATTAAACCGATTAAACTCCATCATGTTAACTACATTTTTTATTTGAATAAACTTACAATTTTGAGGCAACCAGGTTACTTAATTTTTTAAGTTAAACCAAAAATCTGGTGACTAGTTGAATTGTAGGTGCAACATTCCTTATAGTCAACAGAATGTCTAAAGGAGACCAACTAAATATGGTGTTACCAAAATAGTTTTTAAAGTTGAATTTCCAGTCCACGAAGAAGTTGTCGTCATATCGCATGTTACACCTTGACTCTGGGCATTTCTCTTTCATTTATTTGAAGGGCTCATTTCGTGGTCATCTATCCTCCTCTCCACAGAGACCCCACCACTCTTCCACCCGTCGTCGTGGAGATGTCAACCCTGTGGTGCATTTCTTCAGGAGCTTTGTAAGTACAGTATCCATAGCGGTGTTTCCACTGTAGGAACTTTCCCCAGGAACGGGACATTGGGGTGGTACTCAAAGCGTTTCGACCTCAGGGATCAGGGTCTAAAGTGGGTTCTGGGTAAAAATCACCCCCTCAGAAAGTCCCTGCTCACGAGGTAGTACTTTTTCAAAGTTCAGGAACTTTTCAGAGTGGGATTTGGATTCTGAACATGTTGATTTCACACAGCATTTGATTGGTTGACTCAATGGTTGACACCATTCTGTTGGGGTGCATGCATTTAGCGTTGTTTGCTATATCAACAATGGAGTGTAAAAAATACGCTCGATGGAGGTTCATTCTTTACTAAGCTTATTTACGGAGCATGAAATCAGCGGAAACTGGAAAGACACACAGTCCTACATCACTGGACTAATTTGCCTAATCTTCATGGTACTTTAGACCAGTGGTTCTCAAACCTTTCCTGGAGGACCCCCAACACTAAATGTTTTCTTTGTCTCCCTAATCAAACACACCTGATTCGACTCATCAGCTCATTAAACCATGTGATAATGAGCTGATGAGTTGAATCAGGAGTGTTTGATAAGGGAGACAAAGATACGTGAGGTCTTGGGGGTCCTCCAGGACGGGTTTGAGAACCTCGATGGAAACACAAACAGCAAACAGGTCTGGAGGAAAAAGAGTTCCTGGGACATATTGTTCCAGGTAATTTTGGTGGAAACATGGCTATTGTTTGCTGGCATGGCATGGATTTTTACAAGTCCCAAACTTCAAAGAGCCATGTGAAACTAACAATAGAATCAATTCCCAGAAAAAAAATCGTTTCATCTCAAGACATGAGAATGATATTTTCACACCTCCCGATGTTCTCATCTTTAGCTCCCACTGATCCAAAGAGGTTGTTACTGTTTTCGAAGCACCAGTAGCACGGAAACAGAACCTCATTCAATGAATCAGGTCAAATATATTAGAAGAAAACATTTACACGTAAAGACTATAAGAGCAAACCAAAAAAATCAATAAGGCAAGCCAAACAAAAGGCATCTTCCAGACAGCTTTCGCCCTAGACATGCCACATTGTGTCAGGCCATTCACCATCTAAGTTCGCAGGCCAAGTTTGTCGTCATGTTCAACATGCAGACCATGTTTTCTTTGCTACAATAGTCCAGACTTGTTTTTCTGTCAGACAGACGACATTACACACACTTGCATCTGGTCACACTTTATATTAAGAGTTCTTAACTGCTGTGTACTTACATCAAAAATAAGTACAATGTACTTATTGTGTTCATTTTGTATTGTAAAAACACTTTTTCTGGTATTGAGGTGGGATGCGAGTGGTTTGGTTAGATTTAACGTTGGGTTGGGGTGAAAGGGAAGGGTCAACGGTGTAATTATAGATGTAATTACAGAAATTAATTACAGCTGTAATTAAATGCCTGTATAATTAATAGATATGCACATATACACAATAAGTGCATTGTATTAAATAATGAATTTAAATGTCAGTGCATAGTAGTTAAAGACACTTCATATTAAGGGAGGCTGATTCTCTGCTAAAACATTTTCATGGTTTTACTGTAAAAATGTGACAGTAAAATCCTTTTACAGCATTTTTTTCTGTTGTTCATAAGAATTTTGTGCTACATCTCTTGTTGATAAAATAATGTTTATGTATCACTTTAGTGTCGTGTGTTACCATGGTGTTTAGTATAAGTGTGAATGAAACTGTGCGCCTTTATATTCGTAATTACATTCCCAGCTTGTGGCAAAGCTGCTTGTGATGAGCTTTGATTCATCATGTTGCTTTCTCACCACCTGGCTTTCTCACCACCTTTTTATTACAAAGGTACAAAACAGAAATTAGTCATAGGTTGGTATAACATTATACCACTTAATTAAAAAAAAACGTTTATTTACTGTAAATTTAAGTTATTAAGTAAAACCTAAAATGCATTTATACCGTAAATGTAATTGTTTTTTGTTTTGTTTTGTTTTTTTACATCCTAAAGAATGAGTCACGCTTTGAAAGTCACTGTTTCAGATTAAAAAGCAAGGTCCCACTTTATATTAAGTGGCTTTAAGTACTATGTAATTACATTGAAATTAATAATTTGATACAATAGACTTATTGTGTACATACATGTTTTTACATTGTACTTAGATTTTAAAATTCCAGCATGTAATTACAGCTATAATTAATTTATGTAATTACATTTGTAATTACACAGTTGATCCTCCCCTCACACCTTAACCTACCCTTAAACCAACCCACACCACCACACCTGTCCCTAACCTTACCCATATCACATCTCAATAGCAGCAAAAGTGTTTTACAATACAACAGGGACACAATAATACATTGTACTTATTGTTCAATGTAAGTACCTAGTACTTAAAGCCACTTAATATAAAGTGGGACCAAAAGCAAGAATATACTCTTGTTCAGGAACTTTCACCAGACAGAGAAAAGATTTCTCATACTAATTCATACAAATTTTCTTGAATTTTCCCCTGAAGAACACAAAACCGGTTCTGTGGAAACTATAACTGTTAACGTTTCCTCATTACCAATGTCCTAAATTACAAACGTTTTTTTTTCTGGGAAACAGTAATTGCACAGTTGTTCCTGCAATGCCTCATTATAATGTTCAGGCTTCTTTGTTAAAGAGCACCTATCATGGATTTTTGAAAATGACTGTTCATGTAGTGTGAAATAGCTCTAAGGGAATGAAAACATTCTGCAAAGATTTATATCTGAAAGTGCACCGTATATAAAGTTATTGTCTTTCAAAAGTGAGAGTCGACTCTGAGTCTATGAAATTGAAACGAGTCATTAGCTGTTACATCGTGACGTAGATAGGTCATTGGCCGCTCCCAACAACTGTGCGCGCAGACTTGAAGTGACGTCTAGAACACATTCAAATACTTCAGCTGAATCGCATCATGTCGAGAAGACGCTGTGTTCTACATTGCAAAGACAGTTCAGCCGCTTGTTTCCATTGTCCAGGGTCGAGCATGTGAAGAATCAGTGGTCAGAGTTCATATTTGCAACGAGTAATATTTGCAATCCAGTGTATATGGATCAGGTTCGTCTTCCTCCGAATCACAATCTGTAAGTAATATTAATAATGTTTGCTGTTATGTTTTCTGTAGCCTGCACAATATAGTGTGTTGTGTACACTCCGCGCAGCTTCTAAGCGGGGTAAAGTTAGTTTTGTTTTTGATATTCACCAGACATTCATTGAGAAATGGCAATTACCTCCTAAACGACTTAGCCATATATGACATCGCTCTATATAATAAGCACTGCCCCTCAAAAGCCCCCGCAATGCGATTTTCGCTCTTGACGGAGACGCGAGTAAGGGACCGTGTGGAAAGTGCACTTTTTCTGACACGTTTGTTCAAACACTATATACAATTTTCAACACTTGACAAGCTATAATCCTGGTTATGGGCGTTCCCGTTGCCGACAGTCTCTTCCTACGGTTCACCAATAACAACTGAATGGGTCATTTGACCGATCGCCGCAGATTCGCGTCACTCAAAGGAGGTGTTTGGGGAAAATGAATCGTCGAACGAATCATTTGGGAGTCGTTGATCAAATCAGTTAAAAATAAATGCTTATTATAAGACAAATAACGTGTTTTTTTATCCTTGCATGCACGCTAAACTTTTTTTGGGAGCTCCTAAAACAAAAATAGGAACATTTCAAATGCTATGATAGGGCTGTGGCTGTGCCTTTTGAATACATAAAATGTTCTCTGACTAAAACTTTCAATTTGTTTCTTGAAAGGTGTCCTCTCCTCGTCCCAAGTCAAGGGTAAGTCTCACATTTTTCTCTTGCCATGTTTCTAATCCCTTTTGTTAATGCTCTTGGTATATTGATTTGCAATCGTTTCTAGTTAAATGTGCAGTGCTCAGGGTATAAATAGTAACAAAGCAACCCTGTAATATTCATAACACTCTATTAGGCCATCCTAGAAGATAGAATAGGTTTGACCCATGATTATTTTCAATGCCCTCTCATATCCAGCAATGCAATTATAATTACCTCTAAGAAAAAAAAAATAATCATTCTACATTCTTTCTTTTTTTTTTTTTTTCATTTGCAGTGGAGAGAACTATTGGGCCTGGTACGTCACTCATCCTTGACGTGATTCACATTTGCATTCACAGACACCCTCACAAACAGATCTGATTGGCTGATTGCTGGAAGCCTTCTTGTCTCGCGTCTCATTTCTAATAGATCTGTCGCGTTTCTTTATCATTTGTTCTCTTCTTTGTGAATTAACCAATGCATCGCTCTAATTACAGCTGCTGAACTTTTCGCTGTGCTTCATGTGATCTTCTCCTTAACCTGTGGGATAAGATGTTTTATAAGGTTGAGTGGGTTCATTTTCCACAAAGCTCCTGATTGATCACATTTTTTGTGTTTTTGAGGGCCAAATGCAAGCCTGTTTCATGGTGGTTTAATAAGCATTACTCCACTGTGGTTTCAATTTAACCACACATAATTTTAACATAATTATTCCCCTTATTAAGGCACAGTCTCATGCTAAAATGCATGAAATAGCCATTACTTAATAGATCTGTTGTAATTTTATCCTAATCTATCATGTGGTTATGAATTTCCACAGCTTTCAGCTGTACTGTAAAAGAGTGATCTCAGGCACTGAACTGATTATACGATTATTTTTCAGTTTCTTTCTTTCTTTCTTTCTTTCTTTCTTTCTTTCTTTCTTTCTTTCTTTCTTTCTTTCTTTCCTTTCTTTCTTTCTTTCTTTCTTTCTTTCCTTTCTTTCCTTTCTTTCCTTTCTTTCTTTCCTTTCTTTCTTTCTTTCTTTCTTTCTTTCTTTCTTTCTTTCTTTCTTTCTTGTCTTGATTGTTGCGCTCTTTCTTTGATGATGGCTTTTCTCCTGACCCAGAGCGACTCTCTGCTTCTTGATGACTTTGAGACAGCGAGACTTTTTCTGAGTCACAGCCGGTAAAACCGCTTTCTCTCTAGGGGTCTTCAAACTGTTCACTGCCCCCATAAACTCATATTCCTCTCCAACCCATCTACTCCCCTCCCAGGTCCTGATTCACTGACTCACCAGTGCCCCCTGTGTTGTAGTCACGTGTTTAACTCCACAGGCTCCAATACATAAAGGCATGCAAAAAGAAGGCATGCAGCATTGGATGCATTTGGACATTAATAACTGATAAACAGACACAAAATATGTATTTGGCTTTACAAAATCTGTAAATAACCCATGTTATGATTGTCTAATTGCTGCACTCTAAATCACCCCATAATACTTGATATGTGGCAAACATCCTCTGTGCTGCAGCCTGCTATTGCACTCTTTATTTGTAGACATTGGTGCAAAAATGCAGCATCAATCAAAAAACAAAAAAAACAAAACTATATTGCAATTCAACACATTCTCACCCCAAGGCGTCACCTTTGACCATGCTTCAGTATTTGACGTTTTAGGCGCCCTTTAGCGTCACTTACATGACGCGATCCTACGGCGTCATCTAACTGACGCTAAAGGAAAGCGTCTGTTAGAGGACGCGGTTAGGTTTAGGTGTGGGGTGGGGGTAGGGTACACGCGATCCTAGGGCGTCATCTAACTGACGCTAAAGGGCGCCTAAAGCGTCAGATATTGAAGCATGTCCAAATGCTTCCCAAGGCGTCAGTTAGGTGACGCCTTGGGGGTGAGAATGGGCTGCAACACTTATGATCAGAGGAACCTATTATGAACAGGTGTTCATGGACGTTTTTAAGTCTTCCTTAAAGGTGAAGTGTGTAATTTTTGTGCCATCAAATGAAATTGAAAAAAGCTATGTTTTCGAATAACATAATTATTTTGATAGAAACATGCCATTTATGCTTTTCAAATAAATCAGCCTGTCTTGCCTATAGTCATTTCTGCTATTAAGCTTGTATAGGAGGATATTTTTTCCAGAAAAAAAAAAAAAAAAAACTAAACATGCACACACTTCACCTTTAATATCATATCACGCTGAATACAATCTGCATGTTCTTCACTGAGCATTATGTCATACATTGTTTTAAAACACAATTTGACATAATATGACAAAATGTATCAATAAACAACACTGGGCAGGTATCCTTTTTGTGTTCATAAACTATGTGTTTTAGGCTTCCCCGTCAGCGCATGGCTCGGAGAGCATTAGATCGCCTCAGAGACGCAGAAGAGAACAGAAAACACTCTCCAGAATCTTCAACCTGGTGAGCCTAAAACTGAAGAAAAAAAGAAATCGGTGTTAGATCCTCTGAGAAGATCTCTTTTTTAGCTATTTAAAAGAGGTTATTCTCATTTAAGCGCAATTACATGCAAAAGCAAAGAAAGCAATTTCAACATCGAGATGTAATTAAGGCTATTAAATATGCTCAAAAACAGGATGGAGCATAGATTATTGCTTTGAAAACATCTAGAACTCACTCTCTGTCCTTGAGGAACCATGAGAAAAAGTAAATGATAATGTTTTTGATGAGACTAATTGACTTCTGTTTCCGTCCCAGAGTCACCCTCGGTATGCCAGTCCATTATTATCCATCTTTCACCAAAGTAATGACACTGTCAGTGAGGACTGTTCAGTCTCTCAGCAGTCATTGAGGGTCTTTAATTCACTTAAGCTTTTCAAAATCAATATGTATTCAGGTTATAAAGAAGGCACGTCTATTCTGGACTATGGAAAGTTGAGTCTTACCATGCACCATAACCTTGCTTATTCAGTTAGTCATTGAGAGCCTCATAATACCATAAGTATTGTGGACTTTTGCCAGGTGCAATGCATAACAGTATTCACATCTCTTCATGTTCATTGATCCTCAATAAGATTTGATTTTCAGTGGATTAAAAAATATCACATGGTGGTTCTTAAAGAATCGTTCACATTAAAATGAAATGAAATGTCTTTTCAAAGCTGCATGACTTCCTTTCACCCATGAAATAATGAAAATAGGTTATGAAAAAGTCATACAGGCTTGAAATGGCAAGAAAAGTAATTACAGTAGTCTTTTGAAATATTTTACAATCTAAAATAACGTATTACTCCAGTCTTCAGAGTCACATGATCTATCAGAAATCATTCCAAACACTCATGAAACATTTCTTGTTATTAATGTTGAAAAGAGTTGTGCTGCTCAATATTTTTTACAAAGAAAATTCAACATTTATTTGAAACATTTATTTTTTTTTAACATTATAAATGTACCTTTAGATCAATTTAATTAACACAGTCTCATCCCAAAAAGTCATATAACTGACGTTTTGGGACGAATTTTGACCATACGTCAATATCCGCCTTTTTAGGGCCCCCTTAAACGTCGGTAAATGGCGATCCCGGGCCGTCATACAACTGACGCTTTACCTTTAACGTCAGTTAGGTGACGGGTTAGGTTTAGGTCTGGGGTAGAGTTAGGATCCCATAACCTCATCTACTGACGTTTAAGGGGGCCCTAAAAAGGCGAATATTGACGTATGGTCAAAAGACGTCCCAAAACGTCAGTTATATGACGTCTTGGGATGAGACCGGGTTGATTTAATACATTCTTGCTGAATACAAGTATTATTATTATTTTTTTTTTTAAAAAGGACCATGTTTGTGACCAAACATTTGAACAGTTGTAGATACAGTAATATAAATGTACATATTGGCAAGTATTTGGTCCATTTTTGAGCATGTTCAGCTCAAATATCTACCTCATCTGCTCTCTTGGCTAATTTCCTTTTCTCCCTTTTGTACTTTTAACATGACAATCTCTCCTGAACAGAGGACACAATCAAATCAGGCTCTCCATCTCCATTTTGCTGTAGAGCTGGAGAACACTGAGTGCTCAGATCACTCTTTTAGAAATGTAGCATTTTGTTATGGCTGGGTAAAGCTCCGGCAACGTGGATGACTCAACATTATGTCATTTTGTTATTAAAGACTCCAGTTGTGACATTGAACATTCAGTCCTTCACCCACCCTGCTGATTCTAAGTGCTATTTCATTGCACGCTTCAGCATTTATTATTTTGTAATACGTTTTAGAACTAACGGTGATGCAACGTTGATTTTGACCTTGCATAATCCATCTGTGTCGAGGCGGTTTTGTGTCACACGTCATCTGATATGTTGATGACCGTACTGGTTTTCTCTCCGATCTCAGGGAGAAAGCCGATCTCGCTCTCCACCCAAACGCTGGAGCACCATCTTCTGAGCCCTTCGCCGACCAGAAAAACACTAAGATGGAAGAGAGTGAAATGGACGAAAAGCGAAAACCTGAGCGGGAGGATCTCTGCCCTATAAATTCACAAGTCGCAGCGAGTTTAACAGACTAACATTGGCCATCTTCGCTTCCTAGATAGAGATACAATCCAAGTATCTGTTTTTACATTCCTGCAGGGTTTCATAAGCATGTGTTGACTGTATGTGTGCAAAACTGCTGCAATAACCGGCAATGGTCTGGTGATGTGATACGTCTAGTTGCTATACTGAAAGTCTCCCTCCAAAATTTAGTTGAAGTGACCAATTTGAAAATGTTCCAACATGGAGATTAACCAAAAGGTTTGATATTAGCCTTAATTGACAGAACTAGATAGAATATGTCTCTGTTTGAGCCTTTAAAAGTAGGAAAGTAATGCCCATCATTCAAAACCCATGATCTTATAATTCTGAATTCGTCTCAGATGTATCTCACACAATGGGTTGTTTGTGTGCTATCCAGCATTTGATGCATGACATTAGTCTTTGTGCTACAGTGAAAAGGCCTATCCATGGTTTTGTTGAGATCAATGTTCAACCTCAGTGATGTGCTGTGTATTTGTGGATGTTGTATTGTGGTCCTTGTGTTGCATTAAATATTGGTTATTTACTTTGTACCAGGAATTTGTATATACGATTCCTTATTGTGTTATGCGAATTTTAATAAATGTTATTTAATTTTAATACATGAACATTTACCTAATATTAAATTAGATTTATTTCAGAAGTTATTTAGCTCTTAATTAGGAACACGCATTAAAATAAGACTAAAAACTCAATTTTGTGGACTTTAGGGAATAGATTCGAAGCATGAAGCTTGGATTGTATGCCCTCAGATGTTGCACTGCAGTATATGTGTTAAAACAGCCTGTAAAAGTTGTCTGCGTCATTATGTGTGCAATTTTGATGTTATTTTAGAAAGGTCTCATGTAATTACCAAAGGTAGGATTAATATTTAAATAACAGACAAGCAGAAATCTAGGACAAACAGTCACTGGGAGCAAAAAGGGTGTGAAACTGGTGGGGAAAAGGAAGGAAAATGAAAGTGTAAGAGAGGAAAATGTGGAAAATGATAAACCAGGAATTCTGAGAGAGTGAAATGGAGTTTATTCAGCTGATTTTTATTTATGTGATGTTTCTCATGAGTCTTAATAATGTTCATTGTTTCGTGTCTCATAGACTCTTCCTGTATGTACTGTTTCTGAAATAGTGCTGAATAAACATTCGGTCAAATATTCTCCCTGTCAGCGCTGGATTTGTCTTCAAAATGGTGCTACACTTTTCATAATGCACAGGATATTCTGAAGTGGCCAGGTGTATTGATGTTATATCTTTAACCCTCCTTTATTTATAAAGTAACGTTAAATAAAGAATCAGAAATATATCAAATCTGTGTTTGATCTGTTCATCCTCAAAAATCTCACTAAGTGTGTTTGTGTGCGTTTTTATTTTGTTTTTGAATTTTGATTGCACAGATAGAAATATATCAGTCACTACTCCAGATTTGAACATTAGAGACAATTTGTAAAAGATCACTTGTAAAGTGTTCAAGTTCAAGTGTTTTTTTTTTTTTTTTTTTTTTGTCGTTCAATCATATAGAGTTAGTATGGTACACTACGAAACAAGACAACGTTCCTCCAGGACCATGGTACTACATAAAAAACAACATAGAACACTCCAAAATTACATGAGATTACACATGAACGACGTGTGCAAAAAGTACGGGACAGTACAATACAGTAAATAACTCAGAAATATCAAGACATTTTTGTGTTGGTTAATGTCAAGTTGTCATAACAAAGACATTTTAAACAATGTCAACTTTGCATTAAAAGTGTCATAATTTACCGAATGACACTTAATGACAAAAGTCACAAACATTCATAAAGACTCCTTCATGTTCATGACAGGTGTGTTATGTCATGTATATGACAGTGTCATGTCAGTCTTATGCACACCCCTTCAAATAAAGTGTTACCAAAAAGTCTAATATAAAAACAAATAGCACCTCAACTTTAAATACCCGGCAGGCATGTAAACATATAAAAAATAAAAGTGCCACAGTGTTTGCAAAGCCAGTAATATGCTTTTAGGAACTGCACGCCTAACTCTTACTGTACTGTCATCACAGAAGTAAGTTTCACAGGAGGAAATTGATTTTTTTCTTAATGAAAACTAACATCTCTACCTTGTCAGGTTGAGCCTGTTTCTGTTCTCATCAAGGACATTTGCAACGGCACTAAAAAATCTCTCATTGTCCACAGAGCTGCAGGGGCACTGAGATACTGAGTTGCAACAGCAGCCATAGAGGGAAACTGATTAGCATGTTCTTTCAAGTACTAAAGTCGGTCACTTTCTTAGGGGGTTTTTTTTTTTTTTTTTTTCCGAGAGGTAGGTCTGCACTTGAGTTTCTGCTGATGTACACTGTAGTACTCACGGACGGCCTCTCCTGTAATATTTCCTCAAAGGCAATGTCCAGGCTCCTAAATGCTTCATGATGTGGTGCCTTGCTCACTGGCTCTGCTGCAGCCTCATTCTCCTCTGGCACTGCACTGACAGCCCTCCTCCCCTCTGTATTTTGCCACCTCCTGTATAAGGTGTTCCTTTGCAAGCAACAGGTTGGCTGACTTTGTGAAAAAGCTAGAACCAGAAGTGCGCCCTCCTACGCACTTCCGCTCAATTTCATTTTACTTCAGTAACTACGTCTGGGATCGCTCCATATCCTTAGGTTTCCAGAAATCAATTTTGTGTAGGACCAATCAGCGAATAGAGGGAGTGGCTGAGAAAGATGACGTTGATGTAAGCGCGTCAGTGACAGTTTCAGTTCAGTAATGGCAGCCGAGAAAGACGTGAGAAAAGCTATTTGGTCCGTTGTTGGAAAAGAAACTGCCGAATATACAGAATTTAAAGCCGGATTGTTATCGTCTCACCTCTTGTTGCACAACTGAGGACCAAGTGAAGGAGGCAAAAAGTTTGGAAGTTTGTGCTGGGCAGCTCGTGCACGATGACCGTGACATTTTGGACGAACGGTTTAGCCTGGTGTTGGCGGTGTTCGGAAGCCCCGAGTCCTGGCTGCTAAACTATTGTTGAAGATCCGCTCAGGAGTCGTGTCAGTCGCTCATATTCCCAACTCTATATTTACTGATTCTTGTGATGAATAGAACATTTTGAGCCCCTTTGTGTACTCGTGCAGGAGGTAGGTGTGTCAGTTTTACATGTTGTAAATCATACAAATTGGTTGTGATTTTTTAAAAATAATTGTCATAAATAAAAATGTGAAAAACCATACTTTGAAGATATTTGATTTTCAGTTTTAGATGGCAATGGTTGATTTGTTTTACTAAAAAAAACTAAATGCCACATAAAAATGTACAAACACATACTTTGAAGACCATAATTAAGGTATTAAGAAACAATAAGACGTAATATGAAAAATTGTTGTTTATTACAGATCTGCAGATAGAGACAAGACTGATCATTCACTGTAGCTGCTACAGCATTTGCGGCAGATCAGAAAACGACCACAGCGGCGCATTTCTCAGCTTCGTCCTTCGTGTCAAATATACATTTCGAATTAATAATTGTTCCTAGATTAACAAAACCTGCGGCGCTCGTTGACTGAAATCCTATTGTAAACCTAATCCTCTGATCATTCGGACTTGTTGTTTCCAGCCATTTCGGCGCGTGACATACGTCACTCACGACACCCCGTTAGCGATTGGCTATGGCAGATCTTGAGTGACTTTGGGCAGATCCAATAGATTTGAACTTTAATAGTGAACCCGCCTACAAGGAAGAAAACGTTTCTCAATGGAGCGGTTCCAGACTCTATGTGGAAATGAAATGAACTAGAGTCTGGTTGAACCAGGCTAAGAAACAGATACAAGTAACACACAATTCAAAACAATAAGACAAGAAGAAACACCACAACTGCCTACACATGTACTCAATTAATAAACAATACAATAATCTAAGCTTAGAAGTTGAACTAAATTACCCAAAACTAAATTAAAAAGCTTAATACTGGTGTCTGGTGATGACTTGACTTTAAATAAACATAATTTTTACATTTTAATTTTACTACACTTGCCCATATTTGTATCTGGGATCTAGAAGAGTGGCAATGTAGAAGAGTGTCTCAGTTTCAACATCAGCAAAGCGCTTCTCCACTGCCTCCAGCAGAGACCTCTTCATTGTTTTTATTCCCTGGTCATCATCACATAAATTCTTCACTTTTGAATTTAGTGCAACAGTAAATATAAAAATAAGTCCTCAACTTAAGTCCGCACCTCAACTTTAAATACCTGGCAGGCATGTAAACATATAAAAAAATAAAAGTGCCACAGTGTTTGCAAAGCCAGTAATATGCCTTTAGGAACTGCACTTCTAACTCTTACTGTCATCACAGTAGTAAGTTTCACAGAAGAAAATGTATGTTTTTTCTTAATGAAAAATAACATCTCTAGATCTAGAAGAGTGGTGATGTAGAAGAGTGGCTCAGTTATATCCCTAATAGCTTTCTTCATATTTGCCGCATTGTCACGCAAAATTACGTGGACCTGTTGCTTTTCAATTCCCCAATTGTTTAGCATCTTTTCCATTGATTGCTTGATGCGCTCTGTGCTGTGCGATCCACGAAATTCCTGAACATGTAGGGTTGCACGGCGTAAAGCAAAACTTGAGTCAATCCATTGTGTGGTAAGGCTTAGTAGAGCCATGGGAGCTACAGACGAACTCCAGAAGTCTGTGGTGAACGAAACATGTAGTGCATCTGATAACAGGATTGTAGTTTGTCAGAAATCTTCTTATAAACCGAAATCATCATCGACATCACACATCAGTGGGTTAGTTAGAATTTTTTGAAGCATCAAAAATACATTTTTGGTCCAAAAATAACAAAAACTATGAAATTATTCAGCATTGTGTTGTCTTCTGGCTCTGTTGTGAATCCTGATGAAGTAAGACACTGCTGACATGTTACCTGGTGCGTCCGTGTATTCGGGTTTAAATAAATATGACTGGGCAAAAAAAAAATGCAAGTCTTCCTCTGTGTCTAAATCCTTAGACATGTTTGCAAAGATTGTTTTATTTAAAGCGTGCATCTCCCTCAGACTGTCAACGAAGCTCAGGTGCACCGGATTACACATCAGCAGCATCTTACGTCAGCAGCGTCACTGAATGCGAATTGACAACAGACCGGAAGAGAATACAATGCCTAATGAAGTAGTAGTTTTAGTCATTTTTGAAACAATATGTATTTTCGATGATTCTAAAAATTCTAACTAACCCCATTAGTGCCCAGACAGCAAACTGACATTGAATCAACGTGGAAACGACGTCTCTCATGACATTGAAACAACGTTGATTTTGCTCATCGAATTAACGTTGAACCAACGTCAGACGCGGCATTCTTCAAAGCTAAATAAAAATTGAAAATTGGTTTGCTTTCATAACGTTGAAACAACGCGTTGATTTCAAGTTGATTTTCCGTTAGTTTTGAAAGAATGACGCGTCTGACGTTAATTCGATGAGCAAAACTATGTCAGATCAAGGTTGTTTCGATGTCATATTTCCACGTTGATTCAATGTCAGTTTGCTATCTGGGTGTCCATGACCACTGGTGACTGCTGCGTTCCAGGCAGGTTTTTGAGTACGTAAATCACGACTTCAAAACACGACTCATTTTTTTGTATCATTCCAGGCCAGTCACGCCAAACTACCTGAGAGCAAGAAATCGTAGTAGCTCGTAAATAAACCAACCAGCATCACGGACCTTACATGGCTTTTGCGCATTTGTAATAATTTTTGTCACCAAAGGTGCTTACACCTTGTTTATTTGAGGGAAACGGAGGAGGAAAAATGGCGCATAAGAAAAGTTAAGCTGTTATACCTTTGGAAATGTATTTGGTAATAATTTATCCTTGCACTCAATGGACTTGGCTTCAGATAAAAAATAAGACTGAAAATAAATATAATGAACAAGACACCCAAAGTATACTTGTTATTTAATTACATTCCAAATACATGTTTATCAATATTTTTTTTATATATATATATATATATACAGATGTGTTTTTATCAGGGCTGTCAGTTAAAAGCGTTATTAACGGCTTTAACGCAAACCCATTTTAACGGCGTATTTTTTTTTTATGACGCAATTAACTCTCTTTTTGTCCTAGCAAACTTTGTCGTTTTTTCACATGCTTATGCAACAGGTGGCGGCGCTGCGCTCTGAAACCCATTCATTTCAATGGCTTGCGCCGCGCGAAGACGTTTTGTTGCTTCGTCAACCAAGCAACTGTCAGTCTGTCAATTGACAAGCGAGGTAGCGTTGGTATTATCCATGGTATTATCACTGTTTTTAGGGTTTTTTTTAAACAGCGT